GTGCTATATGTCATTATACAACTGTTCTACATTTTGTTAGGAGGTCACATGCTTTCCCCCCACACCCAAAAGCAATAGGTTGAGTGCTCCCAACCAAGCAACATAGCCATCAATGTAAAGTATATAGGCTACAAGAAGACTTACTGTTTCTACTTGGAATTAAACAGACATGAGGCAGTTATATTGATGTATTACATATGCAGCTTCTGCTTTCTGCTAAGTAGTGCTCACCCCTCTGCAAAGACTTTCTGGGTCACTAGTTGGTTTTATCTCACTTGGTAATTGTTTTCTCCTTAATAAACTGCAATTAGAAGGGGGCTCCCCTATCTGAATATGATACATATTTTCTTTATAAATCTAACAGCCAAATAATAAAATAATTGTTATTGCTCCCCTTTATATCCCCAGCTCTGTCTCATATTGTTCCCCTGTAAATCTCCTGTCTCTCCCATTGCTCCCCTGTAAATCTCCCAGGGCTTTCTCTTTCATTGCTCCCCCATAAATCTTCTGGCTCCCACTCATTACTCTTCTGTAAATCTCTTGGGGCGCTCTCTCTCTCTCATTGCTCCCCTGAAAATCTTCCATCTCTCTCACTCCACTGTTAATCTCTCCATTCCTTCTCTCATTTGTCCCTTATATGCTTTCCGGCTTTCACTTTCCAGGGTGTGGTGTGAAGAAGCTGAGTGCGGCCAATATGAAGAGCAGCCAATACATTCCCATCCATTCCAAGCAGATCTGTGGTCTAGACTTCAACACGCCGCCTGACAGTCTCCTCCTCTCCGCTGCTTTGGAAAACACAGTGAAACTGCATATAAGAGGGCAGGCAGACCCAACAGAGAGGAGTCACTTCTGTCATTGTTCCAGAGAGAAAGTATTCTAAAAGCGTTAGAATTTTGTGTCTCACATAATAATTTCTAGTACGATGATATGTACTATAGACAAATTAGAGGTGTTGTGATGTGGGCTAGATCTGCCCCCAGTGTTGTTAACGCATTTATGGCCAAATGGGAAGTGGATTGTCTAATAAGCCTCCTCAATTACTATTTTCCAAGTGTTTCATAGATAATATCCTGTTTATCTGGAGAGCTAGTGAACTATCATTGGAAGATTTTATGACATTGCCTTATACCAGAAGATGATCCTGGCTTTAAAGGGGAACAGGCTCTGGTTAGACCTTTTATAATTTAAAGCTGATTGCCAAGATCTACATACATTACACAGTGCTGGGTCCCCCGCTGTGAGACAAAGACTTCTCATCTCACACCTGGAACAAAATTGAGTCAGTCTGAGCGGTGCAGCTCAGGCAGCTAAATAATAAAGAGTTTGGACTGGACATCACTTACTTAGTGGTAGCTGTAGTGGAATGTATTGTTTGAGAAGAGCACAGTGGGAGCAGAAGCCCCCTGACATCGCCTGTCCATCCTACAGCCTGCTGACACTGTGGAGCAGACCTACAGTACCGAGCAGCTGCTATGGAACTGGTGCTCCGATAACACCAACTATGTGTAAATTGTATTGAGGGTGGGAGGTTTTATGTGTTTAATCTTTTATTTTTGGAGTGGAGGGTTTTTGGAGGTGGGAGAAGTGATGTAAATATGTTTTTGGGGTGGATGGAGGTGGGGTGCCTTAAGTGCTGAACTTGTGCATCATGGCTGATGGCCAATTTTTTTTTTTTGTGTGATATATATTATATTTCTGTCTATGTATATTTATTTATATTTATTTTTTTTTTTGCCAGTCAGAAAAGCTCCCCGTCAGTACAATACAATAGTGCTGTGAGAGGCATTTCAACACTGACTGTGTATTTGGAGAATTGAGTGATTTCCTTTCCATGGGTGGAAGGAAAGGAATTCAATGAATCTATAGTTTGCCTTATGTGTCACTAATTTGTTTTTCTTTCATTTTAGGGCAAGTGTAGCACAACGGTATAGGGACAGCAGTGCAGTCATGTGATGTCTAGGTGGAGGGAAAGTGTTTGTTGTGGAAACATTTCTGTTGTTTATTATTGGATTTTTTGTCATGAAACTTTTTTTTTATATATCTTAATACATTTTAAATACCGTATTTTCCGGCGTATAAGACGACTGGGCGTATAAGACGACCCCCCTACTTTTCCTGTTAAAATATAGGGTTTGGACTATACTCGCCGTATAAGACTACCCCCCTCTTCCAACCAATCACGGCAAGCAATGTACCAGTATTTTCTGTGCACACTGCATACAAAGCCTGCTTGGATTGGGTGGGTCAGCTCTCCCTGCCTGTCTCCAAGATACCATAAATTGCACAGAACTGCCACAGACATTAAAATATTAATAATTAATTACCGTATCTCATAGCAGTTAAGGGGACAAGGTCGGATGCAGCAGTACCATACCGGTACTTCCGAGCTGACACTTCTGCACATGTCTAGGGCAGCAGTAGACGATCACTGATCACCATTCCTCGCAGAACTGCATGAGACGTCGGATGCAGCCGTTCAGTGCTCGATTGATCGTGACTGAAACTGTGACATGCGCAGAATCACTGTGTATCCCTTCTCTGCATATCACAGTTTCAGTCAAGCTCAATCGAGCACTGCTGCATCCGACGTCTCATGCAGTTCTGCGAGCTACGGTGATCCGCGATCGTCTACTGCTGCCGAAGACATGCGCAGTAGCGTCAACCCGGAAGTACGGTAAGGTTTCAGCACAGCACCCGGCGTATAAGACGACCCCCGACTTTGTAGACGATTTCCAGGGGTTAAAATGTCGTCTTATACGCCGGAAAATACGGTAAATAAATTAAAAAACATATGCCAAATTAATTACTTCCCTGGAGTTGTTTAATTTACATCTAAGAACTGGAAAGCCGCAATAGTGCAGTGTGCTGCGCGATTAACCAAACTAGGTCATGGTTAAAATAAAAAAAAAAGCTGCAGATACTGAACTATTTTGATTCCCAAGATGTTGACTCCAGGACTGTCACCCTTATCCTTTTATTTCTTACTTGGCGAGTCAATGCTGCATATGTATAGAAGCACCTAATAGCTGGGCAGGTTCCTTTAAAAGCTGCAAATCTGTGAAATATGAGACAGTCATTTTGGGTAAACATATACCTTGAAGAAAAGAGGCCCTGGGAGTGTGTAGCTTATTGTCCATCAGCCAGATTCTGAGAAATGATGCATTGGCACATTGGGTGTTTGCCATAGGTACAGTAAAGAGGTTCTGGGTAAGATCTGAAAGCTGCAACGAAAAGTAGCCCATGTGCTATATTATCTGCTACACACATCTTGGTTTGCATTGTTTTTCCACCTGCTTTATACAAGTTCTTACTGTTTATTCATTTATTATGGTTAGCAACCTTATCACTATGTTATTGAATTTATTATTCTCTACCAAAGTGAGAATAAAAGTCGCAGAACACCCAAACAATTATATGTTTTTATTTAAGTATTCAAGGCATTTTTTGTAAGAAGTCAGCAATGGCTTCCTAGTTGTTCCTTGCAGGTATAGGTGTCCTTTAAATTGACCCTATCCCTACAGGATGAGAATTATAAAAAAAAAAAAAAAAAAAAAAACAAGCAGCCTGATACACAAGACATTCAATTCCTAGCTTTCCAGTGGATGGTGAGTGAAAGCTGGTGCCTGACACTTCTGGGTGTGTTAAATGCCTGACCCCACCAGGCATTATAGTTCCTCCAGCCGACCCGAACATCACTCCAGCGCAGTGTTTCTCAACCTTTTTTCAGTCAAGGCACCCTTTAAAATTATGGACAATCTCAAGGCACCCCATTCTAAAATGTAAAAAATTATTCTAATAGTTGAACATAACATAGCAACATCCACACATGTAGGACACCCAACGTTAGGGGGGATTTATTCTCCCAAAGCAAATACACTTTTGCACCCTGGTACTGACTAATATTTCAATGTTCCTCTTGTCCCACAGCTAATGTGACCCCAGTGCTGATGGAGCGGGGCAAACAAGGATGCTGTGCAGGTGCCCGACGTCCTCCTTATCAATTAATGATGTCACTGGTTGTTAGGATGCCAGCAGCTGGCAGGTTGTAAAAGTGCGCAATGAAAACCCGTGGCTTTGTGTAACTAAAAGGCAGACTTCATCCACCTGCTGGCTTGTATACAATTTTTGGGCAGTTTTTTAAGCATTGTGCCAAGGCACCCCTGAAAAAGCCTGAAGGCACCCTGGTTGAGAAAGGCTGCTCCAGAGATTCATGAAGTAATGTCCAACAGTAGCATTCACAGCGCCCAGCGGAGAACCAGGCACCCAACACACCTAGAAGTATCAGGTACCCTGTAGATAACCCAGAGTGCAGAATTTTCATTCACAACCCAGCAGAAAATAAAGACAAACTTTTTTTTTTAACAGGCTGTTTTTTTTTGTTTGTTTTAGTTTTCACTTTAAAGATGAGCTATACTGAGAGAAAATATGGGGCCGCAATCGCTGTATAAATGTCAATTGCCTAGCTGACTGCTGCAAAAGTACATTCAGAATCCGTAACCCAAGAAGCAGGCAGATCAGGAACATCACCATGAAGTGAGAGCTCTGATCTGCTTGTTCCAGGTCAGTGATTTAGAAAACATCAAAGCCACTGGATCAGCATGAAAACCCAGAAACTAGTATTTTTCAGAACAGGGGGTCAGCAATGGTAGCTCTGCGTGTTTGGATAACAAGCTTTCTGTAAGTATAATGGCAATACAGCGAGTATCAGAAAGACGTGTGTATGTCTATATCTCACAATTCACAGGAATCAGGCCCATTGGATTCTCCTACTGATCCACAACAGTCCTGTATTACTACATCATTTCCTCCGCCAGTTAGAATAAAATATATCAATATTGATTATGAATCAAGGCAAATAATTACAAACTGGAAATTCCTACTTCCGCACTCTATACCTCATGTCTCCATATAACAGTGTTCAGTCATGTTCCTGAGGATCTGGTTGAAGGTAGTTACAATGAGTGGCTGGTCTTATCTTTGGGTTCCTATAAAACAGGTTCTCATGTTGATAAGTGAACCAGTAAAATGCTTTCTCCCCGAATAAAAACCTGTTTTATGTGGCGCTTATACACCTTCTGATAATCAATCTTCTCTTTTGGATGTCTAGTCCTCAGTTTGGATTTATCATCGAAGATTCCCGATTGTCCTTGATCCTGAACAGTGGTGTGCCTACCTAGGGCTTGGGTGGATCTCCTAGGATCTTGGGCAGAAGTTCTCCTGTCTGTACTCTGCCCATGTGAAGCTTTGTGATGTGGAAGGGGAATTCCAGGTGTCTTTTCTACAGCACTTTTTGTTTCTGTAGAGGATTGTAACTCAGACTCCTGCAGCTTAAGCCTGTCAAACAACTGCAAGACAAGTTGTAAGTAAATTACAGATAAGTAAATGCAAGTCATAAGTTGCCATAAAAACAATATATAGTATCTGGATGGATAGCTAGCGAGTATAGGACAAAATGCAGGCATGAAAAAAGTAAACATTTTTGGATGCAGCACTCCCATAGCACAGCTGAGGCTTGGCACATTTTCAGGCAGTTCAAGAGCAGTTCATTTAAGTGATTTGGCAACCAATCGTGAGCCACAATGAACTATGGGGTTTTACTGCCCCCCTTCCCCCAAACCACAACTGTACAGGAGCCCTTACTGTCCTGAGCCCCATAAAAGACTGCTTTCACACTGAATGCACCTGCAGCTTTCCTGTGGGTTAGCAGCACTGAGCCATAGACTTCTTTTACATCTTGCAGATGTGATGACAGTTCTGAAAGCGCACCAAAACTCCTACATTCAGAAGTTATGGTGCGCTTTCAGAAATCGAACGAAACCCGCAGGGTATAATGGAAGTCTGTGGCTTAGTGCAGCTAACCCGCAGAAAAACCGCAGGTGCACTGTGCTACATCTGTAGATCAGTGTGAAAGCAGCCTAATAACCCCCTTTTTTATATATATATATATATATATATATATATATATATATATAAATAAGTGCTAATATGACCATTGCAAAAGTGCAGTGTATGTAATGTTCAGTACACGGACCTTCTTTTCATCTTCCAGCTTCTGCTAGCATCATTCTCCAAGCTGCTAGAAAGGTCCCAGGCAAAGTGCGCTTGGTATCACTCTGCCTGGAACAGGAGCCGGTGCCACAGAAGAAACATCGAATTCTGTGACTGCTCCCTGACAGCCCCCTGCTTACTCCACTGCTGATGCCAACTCCATGCACTCTGATATCTGGGTCGGCAATCCCAGAGCATCGGCATGCACTTCCCTGGTTTGAGGTCAAGGGCCACATCAGAGGGCTGTGGCCCTTGGACCACTGGTTGAGCAACCCTGATTTATACAAATTCACTAGCAATTGTGCAATACCAGGAGAAATGGAGCCCTTTAACTGTCCACTCCATATGTACTGCTGTCCATTCAGTCCTCAGATTTACACAGCCCACTACCACCCACTAGCAAAGCTACTGTGGCATCCTTTACAGTTAATATGTATGTCAGGACAAAATAAAACATTGTACATCTTTGCAGTATATGCTCATTTCCCCCATGTTTTATTCATTTAACCCCTTGGCACCAGCGCCTCCTGGCCCTTTAAGGGGTTTCTGATGCCGGGAGGTAGGGCAGGGTTTAGGCTGTCACAGCGGTCACATGACTGAACCCGATCGCAAGTAACGATCAGGAGATTTCTGTTAGGAGTCGGTAACTGCACCAATGAACAACTTACAATAAAACAAATGTGTTCTGGTAAAAGTCAATTCATAGATAGATGCTTGTAGTGCCGTTCACTTTGAATGGCACCCCAAAATGATAGTGCACCTCAATTCATGTGCATTTCATTACACCACAATGCACACATGGGAACCACCTGTGTGCTGAGGTGCACCATGTTAAAAAAGGAGAAGGATCTCAAGTGTGAAATTGGCCTAACCCTTATGGCAGCAGCAGAAGAAGACTTGGGCTGGCCATACATTATACAATTTTCTTTGGCTTAGATTTACCAAAAAAAAACCATATAATATGAGGTCAAACCTAACAACACTTTCAATTGTATCCAATTAGGCAGGCTCTTGCATTACATAGTTGAAGGTAAATCTAAAGGAAATTGGGTAGAAATTGTACAGAAAATTGTATAGTGTATGGCCAGCCTTAGTCTGCATTTTTTGAAACTTTTAATTTTCACTGTCATATGGGAACTGATAAGTTTGATTTCATTCATGGGGCCTCATTGTAGAGATTTATGTTTTTTTGGGGTCCATTATGGGATCAGAGGACCATGAGGTGTTCTTTTTACCTTCAGTGTGGAACAAGTTAACTTTATACAGACATCACAGATTTAAATAGATGCCTGATGCCTCCTCTCTGTGCTGCATGTGGAGGTTGGGGACAAATAGTCCCCTGCCTCCATTCACCCAGGTTACTGCCAAAATACTGAAAAACCTGGAAGTGTTCAAGAGTGCAAACTTCTGGTTTTAACTGCCACAAAGGAGATCAATGAATTCACTAATCTCCTCCACTTGGTCATCCAACTCTGCTCTCTAAGGCTGCATTCACAATTTTTAGCTTGAGCTCGAAGATCCAAAAACGCTCAAACTTAAAAAAGCAATTGTTCTCTATGGTGCCTATTTGCGTGATCAGGAGTGAACAGGCACCATAGAGAGCAATTGATTTTTTTGGAGCTTCAAGCTGCAAATCACTCAAGTGTGATTGCAGCCTTAGGGCTGGGAGAAGCAGCAGAGCGGACACCAGCAGCAGGATTGCAGCGAGCAGCATGTCTGCCAATCAAAGCAGGGGATGCAGCCACAGCATGTACCGCTGGAAAGGTAAGGTGGTCAGGCTCTGTGCAATTCTACCACCAGTTATGAAGGGCATTTGTATGGGCAGTCAGGCTCCAGGAAACCTGTACATTCTTGGTTATTCATGTATTTGAGAAATTCAGGTTGTGAAAATGCAGCCATCATAGCAAAAACTAACTGATGAGGTCATCCCATGCACTCTCCTCCTATCAGGTTGTCCCTTGTTAATGCAGCTGAATACAGCACACCTGATTTGCTGTCAGTCCAGCTCCTCCCTCTCCCAATCTGAGTGCTGCTCTTTAGGGGACTGCAAGAGGCCAATACCAAGTGAAATTCAGGTATTCACACTAGTTGTATTCAGTAAATACATTTCATGAATGCATAGCTACATACATTTGTGACTTTCCATCTGCCTGGATCTGAGATTTAAAGCATGCAGTACAGTGACGTCACCTTTCTTGCAATTTGTTTGCTTCCTCCAGCCCCATAACTGAAGGTCTGTACCTCCATATGGACCTAGGGCTGAGATGTAAACAATGTAAAAATCTCTACATTGCACCAATAATGCACTGACTGGTTGAAATATCTCTGCAGGCTTCAATTCAAAAATGCAATAAATGCACTTTCTGTATTAAATTAAAGGCTTACGGTTTTGTACCTTCATGCATTCTATTCATGAAGGCAAATAACCTCCTGTGTGCTGCTCCCCCCACAGACCACCCTAATACTCACCTGAGCATTCTCTCGATCCAGCAATGTGCACAGGAGCCTCGGCTTTCCTGGGTCTCTCTCTCCTCATTGGCTGAAACACAGCAGCGGGAGCCATTGGCTCCCACTGCTGTCAATCACAGCCAATGAGCCAAAGGAGAGAGCGGGGGTCAGGGCTGAGCCACGGCTCTATGTGTCTTTTGGACGCATAGAGTGGGGATTGGGAGCAAGCAAGCACCAGTGCCCCCATAGCATGCGGCTTGCTATTGGGGGTACTGGTCATGGGGAGGAGCACCGGCGTGGGACCTGAAAAGAAGAGGATCAAGGCTGCTCTGTGCAAAACCACTGCACATAATAGTTTTTTTTTTTAATTTTTTAAATGAACTTTTAATAGCACTGTAATGTGCATTTATTTCATTTTGGCAAAAGGTGGACTATGCCTTTAACAGCTTTTGAACCGCTAGTGTAAAAGCAACAGAAACACTTGCAGAATATTACAGCAGATAGATGGATAGGTTACCCGTGTCAGCGTCAACTGGGGCTCATTGTAGAAAGCTTTCCCAAGGACAGGCTTCCTATATGTCTCATCTACATCGACCATGGCCTGAAAGAGAAACAATAAGTTAGCATATCTAAAATAAATTCAAAACCATGAAGTTTTTAAAATAGGTGTTTTTATTTTTGCTCCTCCACTGGGAATATTGTCACGGAAAGGCTGACTTAAAGTGTTACTAAACCCACAACAGTAAAATCAGTCTGAATATGTAGTAAAGCAGATGACACCAAGCTGTGCAGTGGAATAACGTCCTTACAGGATGTCTCCAACTTACAAGCCAACCTCAATGCTCTGTATAATTGGGCAACTATGTGACAAATGAGGTTTAATGTTGATAGATGTAAGGTTCTGCACTTGGGGGCTAAGAATATACATGCATCATACATACTAGGGGGAGTACAACTGGGGGAATCAATGGTGGTGAAGGATCTGGGAGTTCTGGTAGATCACAAGCTTAATAATGGCATGCAATGCCAAGCTGCGGTTTCTAAAGTGAGCAAAATCCTCTCTTGTATTAAAAGAGGTATAGACTCCAGAGAGAGAGATATCATTTTACCCCGGTACAAATCATTAGTAAGACCTCATCTGGAATATGCAGCTCAATTTTGGGCACCAATTCACAAAAAGAACATTGGGGAACTGGAGAAAGTACAGAGAAGGGCAACCAAACTGATAAGAGGCATGGAGGAGCTCAGCTATGAGGAAAGATTAGAGGAACTGAATTTATTCTCTCTTGAGAAGAGGAGATTAAGGGGGGATATGATCAACATGTATAAATACATCAGTGGTTCATATAGTGAATTCGGTGTAGAGCTATTCACCCTGAAGTCATCACAGAGGACAAGGGGGCACTCTTTACATCTGGAGGAAAGAGATTTAATCTCCAAATATGGAAAGGTTTCTTCACAGTGAGAGCTGTGAAAATGTGGAATAGACTCCCTCAAGAGTTGGTTCTGGCCAGCTCAGTGGATTGATTCAAAAAAGGCCTGGATTGTTTCTTGGATACACAGAATATAACTGGATACTAACATTTATAGGTAAGGTTGATCCAGGGAATATCCGACTGCCTCTCGGGGGATAAGGAAGGATTTTTTTTCCCAGCAGGAGCAAATTGGGTTATTCTTTGCTGGGTTTTTTTTTGCCTTCCTCTGGATCAACTGTGGGTATAGGATTATAACTTTTTTTTTTGTGGTTGAACTGGATGGACTTTTGTCTTTTTTTAGCCAGACTAACTATGTAACTATGTAAAGCATGCTTGTTATACTCACTGTGGAACCGAAGGAGTTAACCCTCCACATTGTGTAAAAAGGATGTCTGATCCTGTCTGTTCTGATCCTCCCCTTTCTTACTGTCCACAATCCATCTGCTGATAGAACAGAGCCTTGGGAGCAAGCTGCAAATGCTCAGTTTGGTGTGCATTGCTAGAGTTTTTGTTTTCTTAGGAGAGTGCATGTGATCAGCACAGGGCCAATCAGCACTGCCCAGACAGAGGGTCAAGGGTTATGCAGCCTCATTAGGTAAGAAAGAAAAACTCTTCCAACATCTTTAACCAGTGCTCTGCTGGACACTAATAGTAGACACAAGACTGCTTTAACTGCTGATGAGAAAAGGTATTAGCAGTTTATATTTACTAAAATAATTGCACTTCCATGTTGTGTGTACTGTGGGAGACCTGATAGAGTGAATACAGGGTTCGGGGTTTAGCAACACTTTAAATTTACACTTAGCTTAAAAAATCTTTGTATAGCAATTTTTTGTTTGTTTTGCATAAAATAAAGGATTAGAATGCTTGTCAAATTTTTATTGCTATCTGTGTAACCCTATGTGACCCAGCTCAGTGTAGAATCCTGGCATCTACTGGGAGCAAGAATGAATGAACACCTATGCACGTGCACAGGAGTTGTGTCATTCCGTCCAGACCAGTCAAGATGACAAAAGACCCTGAACCCAGAAGGAGCCAGGAAGAAGATGTCGGCACCAGCAAGGGAACTTGCAGACATCACATTACTGGAGGGGAGTATAGTCCAATTTAAAGTCTTCATTGAGCAGCTGACCATTGAGTGTCACACAACTGACCCTCCCCTGGACACAAGCCTGAAAATGTAGCCTCATGGAGTAAATTATTACCATGTTCCAAAATTTGTCAAATGCAACAACAAATCCAGAGCAAACACCACGCAGTCCCTTAAAGGTACGGATATGAACGTTGACCTTCAACCGTTCCTGCACACAGCGATACAGCACTCCCAAAGGACCGCCTTCATTCACTGAAATACAAAAGGTATACCAGTATTATAAATGAGTCTGCATTGAGGTTAGTAATTACAGGTAGGGTGATAACAGCACAAAAGGGTATTTATTTTATGAAGATAAATGACTTGTATAAGCTGCCCTGTAGTCACTATGCATTGTGATGTATACATTCCATATCATTTTCAGCACATTTTCTTTTTTCTCTTTTTAATTGTATATTGGCCTGCATCACCAGGAGACCTAGAAACCTCACCATGTTCAACCTAGTTTCATGGAGGCTGATTTAAAAACAAAACATGGACTGGGGTACACTACAAGCCTCATGTGTGAGTGAACATGGACCATCACAATCCAGGACCCTATTTAGCTGATCATAACCTAATGATCAAAGCCACACTCCTAGTAACTGAGAAAATGATCCCTTGCAGCAGGGCTGTGCCTGCACTGCAAGGGTTGCTTCCTCATTTTGGTCTAGGGGGAAAAAAAACATTTACTTACCCAATCGTGCACTCCTTCCTGCAGCTAGACTGGTCCCCACAGCTTCTCTTTCATGTTCCAGCGGTCTAGAGTCCTGACATCATCAAGACTAAAGCAGGGTCTAAAGCCGTGCATTAAACATGATGAGGCCAAGGAACAGTCCACCACTGAGGCGTGGGTGAGGGCCATCTGCTGGGATCAGGTACATGCAGTACCTCTCCCCTAAGCCCCAACCCTTGCAGTGCAGACGCATCCCCACTACAAGGGATCATTTTACATTTTCCCAGAGCTGAACTTCTGTCAATCTTGTGCAATTTTACAGGTTCCTACCCTGAACTGAACAGTTTCCTCTGATTTCACTGCACACTACGAGCTTCTCACAATATGCATTAGAAGCTTCAGTAATCAGATGGAGCCCACCTTATTTCCAGGCCGGGAGATGTCCAGCATCATCTAGCCCCTTCCTTCCCAGCCTAGCTGCCCTTGGCATACCCCTTTTGTTCACTGGATTTAAAGTGGTTCTAAAGCCTAAAGGTTTTTACCTTTAAGCATTCTATGCATTAAGGTATAAAACCTTCTATGTAGAATCCCCCCCCCCCCGAATTCTTACCTGAGCCCTATCCGGTCCAGTGATGTGTACGAGAGCAGCAGCTCTTGCCTCCATCTCCCTCCTCACTAGGAAGATTGATAGCAGCCAGAGCCATTGGCTCCTACTGCTGTCAATCAAATGCTGTGAGAAGGGGGGTGGGGCTTGAGCCACCCACTCTGTGTTAATAGATGCAGAAAGAGTAGCTTGGGAGCAAGCCCACACAGGTGCCCCCATGGAAAGCTTGCAGAAGAGAAGGAACCTGGTGTGCTGGTGGGGGACCCCAGAAGAGGTGGATCGGGGCTGCTCTGTGCAAAACCATTACATAGAGCAGGTATATACACCATGTTTGCTATTTTAATTTTAAAAAAAATTAAGGTTTTATGTTACTTCAATCATGGAGGCTCAGAATCACATGTGGGCATTACTGTGGGTGCTCTTCATGCAAATGCAGTCTGCTCAGAATGCCATTCCTTCAGACTGATATCCACCCTTCAAGTCATTTTGATATGTGCATGGAGGTACGCCAAGAGCCAGCTTCCAGCTTAGGGATTTTAATAGGAGTACTGAGCCAGGGTGATGTGATGTTTTCAGGTATCTATTTTCAGCACCCCGCCAGCCCCTCCCACCAGCCTGCATTACATAGAGAAGCGCAGAAGCCCAGTGGTGACCTCTCTGGATCTAAAATAAAGTATATACTCAAATGAAAAAGGTTTCATTTAAAATGATCATTAGCATGTTGATGAGTAAAGAAGGAACCATGAGGAAAGAAGGACCCATGGATACCAACATATAAACAGATTTACAGCAGCTATAATGGCTTTCAGACTGCCTGACCCGGATTCCAGGTATAGGGTATGCACATGTGGACCCCCCCACCGACACCTGCTTTGATTGTACACAGTGGGAGTCTGTCAGCAAGACCCCGGACAGTGATTCATGGCCGGGACCTGCTGGTCGGCTGTGTGCAATCACAGCCCCGAGTCCTGTGTTGACAATCAACACAGGGCTCTGTACAGAGGGAACAATCTCTCGGTTTCTAATCCCTATAAAACATTAATGAAACACAAAAAAAATCTAGTAGTAAAATCAGCACACTGTACACACATCAGGAGCGACCCTAGGGTTGGTGTCACCCGGTGTGGTACCACTTGGTGTCACCCTCTCCGACGATCCCCACAGGATGGATTGGATCTGCAGATTGAGCATAATGGACCGGACTCTGATCCATTATGCTCCCCAATCCGCAGATCCGATCCATCCTGCGGGGATCGTTGGCTTTCTTTACAACTTACCTTTTGGTGGAGAGAGTCTGGTGTCACCCAGTGCGGCGGGCACCCCACGCACCTGCATCGGGACGCCACTGACACACATTACACATAATTAGGCACACATTTAACCCCTTGATCTCCCAAGAGGTTAACCCCTTCCCAGCCAGTGTCATTGGTACAGTGACAGTGTATAGTATTATCACTGTATTAATGTCACTGATGATGTCAGTGGCAGCTATTCAGTCACCCCCCCGCATCAGTTAGTGTGGCCCCCGCACTATCGCAGTCCCATTAAGTTGCTTATCACTGCCATGAGTAGTATAAAAAAAAAATAAAAAATAAAAAATTCCAGTATATATACACACCATAGTTTGTCGACACTAACTTTCACACAAACTAATCAATATACACTTACTGGGGTTTCTTTTTTACCAAAGACGTAGCAGATTACATTTTGGATAATTTATGAATAAATTACATTTTTTTAATTTTTCATTGGATAGATTGGAATAGCAGAAAGTAAAAATTATTGGTTATTTTTAAAAATTTTCAACCATTTTTTCGTTTATATGGCAAAAAATTAAAAAAAAACCCAGTGGTGATCAAACACCAACAAAAGAAATCTCTATTTGTGTGAAAAAAATTATATGAATTTCGTTTGGGTACAGCGTTGCAGGACCGCGCAATTACCAGTTAAAGTAGCACAGTGCTAAATAGGAAAAAATGGCCTAGTCATGGGGGTGGGGGAGTAAGAACCCTCCGGAGCTCAAGTGGTTAAGGCATAGAGTATAGTCCTAATTCCCTATGCACTTTGAACAGAATAATGCCGCTTTTACCGTATGCCTCCTTCTTTCAAATGAGCAAGGCAAACATGTTTTCCAAATAATAAAATGAGGAGAAATCCTACATTTTAGAGTTGTTCCAGAACAAGAGGTGAGGGGAAATCTTCCAATGGGAACACTTGTTCTGGGGACAACTCTCAAAGAAAATTCCCCTCACTTTGGGTGACTTCTCTTACCTCCTGTTGCACTTCTGCAACAGAAGTGAAGGGAAATGTCCCCAGTGTTAGAAAGATAGCAAAAAATAACCAGGTAGGGGATTTAACTTTCAACCCTTCCCTACGCTATCCAAAACCTAAACAACAGCAACAACAAAAAATGTAAAACATTTGGCTAGCCATACATTTTAATAATAACTGCACACTTGATGTGGTGTTATTCCTACGGTGAATGAATGCCACCAAAGAGCACAACGTATGTCTCAGCACAGTGGTATGAATGGTCCCTGGTTGGCATTGCTCCCTTGCTGGTGGAAACACTGCCAAAAGTTGCTTGCCAGCAGTGACATGTTCCTGGTTTGGCTAGAGAAGGAGTCACGTCATATGAGAAGGAAAATGCATGGTCTTAGCCATCCTGCCATCTATGATTTCTGGCACTGCACACCATAAATCACTAGGGATAGTTTGTCATGATGATGTTTCAGGGCCGTATTGGACCCCTTCATCAAAGCAACCGTGTCTTTGGTGATGTATGTGTGCTGGTATAACTTAGAAATCTATACACACATACAGTTAGGTCCATATATATTTGGACACAGGCACAATTTTAGTTTTTTTCAGGTATTTACCAAAACATATTAAATCTATGGTTATATAATGGATATGGGCTGAAAGTGCACACTCTCAGGTTTAATTTGAGGGTATGTACATCCAAATTGGAGGAAGGGTTTAGGAAATACAGTTTCATGGCTGGGTTTGGGCTACTCCTTTGTTATTTGTTCATCAATTAAACAGGTAAAAGGTCTGGAGTCGATTCTAAGTGTGATATTTGCATTTAGAATCTATGGATGTGAACCTACATCATGCGTTCAATGGAGCTGTCCATGCAAGTGAAAGTTTGGTTTATAACATACCCCCTTCAGGACCAGGCCATTTTTGAAGTTTGGCGCTGTGCTACTTTAACTGGTGATTGTGCGGTCATGCAATGCTGTACAAAAACAAAATATATATAATTTTTTTCACAAAAATAGAGGTTTCTTTTGGTGACATTTGATTAGGGTTCAGTTGCAGTGATTGGCGCATACAGAATGTCGATAGATTATACATAATATTATACATAATATAAGAGAACACTGATGTGTTTCATATTAGAAAGAGAACCTGTCAGTACAGATATGCACCGATCAGCCACAGCTTTATGACCACTGACAGGTTAAGTCAAGAACATTGATTATCTTGTTTCAATGGCATCCGAAAGTTAGTAGGATATATGAGGTAGCAAGTGAACATGTTGTCCATGAAGTTGATGTGTTTAACCATTTCATGTCCGGACACTTTCACCCCCTTCCTGTCCAGGCCAATTTTCAGCTTTCAGCGCTGTCGCACTTTGAATGACAATTGCGCGGTCATGCAACACTGTACCCATATGAATTTTTTAGCATTTTTTTTGAGACAGATAACACTTTATTTCGGTGGTATTTATTCACCACTGGGATTTTTTTTTTTTTTTTGCTATATAAATGAAAAATGTCCAAAAATTTTGAAAAAAAAGTGTTTTTTATAAAGTTTTGCAAATAAATAATCTTGGCCAAAATATATTGTTATCTTTTTAGTAAAAAAAAAAAAAAAAAAATAACCCAAAATTAGTTTAACCAAAAATTATAATTAAAAAAAAAAAGGTTTACATTTTTATTTTATTTTTTTTAATTATTATTTATGTTTTTATTTTTTTACATACTGTCACCCTAGCAGTACAGTGTCACCATGGTGACACTGTACTACTTGTGGGGGGTGATGAAGATTTTTTTTTTTTTTTTTACACTGATTGCATTTTTACACCCATAAAGACTGTAAAAGCAATCATTTCTCCTTCTCTCTGGCTGCATTCTTGCAGCCATTGAGAAATACTGTGTGAGCTGTGATTGGTCACAGCTTGTCACATGGTAAAAGGCTGTTGTGAATAGCCTTGTACCATGTGATCTCTGTGATCATTCACAGATTTCACACGTTGTAAGCAGTAATGTCACAAGTGACATCTTGCTTACACCTATTCATGTGATCACTGATTGGCCAATCAGTGATCACATGATCGGGACCTCACACAGAGGTCCCGTACAGTGATCGGACACAGCGGGCACCAGATCGCGGTGCCGCACGCTCCCAGGGAGCGCGTACAATCCAAAATGGAGGGCGCCGTTTATAAACGGAAACCCGCCCCTGTACTGCCACCATCCGGCCGTTTATATACATGGGCCGGACGGGAAGTTGTTAAAGCAGAAAAAAATGAGCATTGCAGTTTTGTTGCACATGGGACTGTGCAGCTGCAGGCCAGTCAGGGTGCCCTTGCTGACTCTGTCCATAGCCAAAAGTACCTCCAATGGGCAAGTGAGCATCAGAACTGGACCACAGGGCAATGGAAGAAGGTGGTCTGGTCTGATGAATCACATTTTCTTTTATGTGGATGGCTTGGCATGGATGTTTCACTTACCTGGGAAGAGTTGGCACCAGAATGCGGTATGGGAAAAAAGGCAAATCGGTGGAGGCAGTGTGATGCTTTATGTAGTGTCTGCTGGTAAACCTTGGGTCCTGTCACTCATGTGGATGTTACATTGACACGTACCACCTACCTTGGTGAACAAGTACACCCCTTCATGGAAATGGTATTCCCTGATGGCCGTGGACTCTTTCAGCAGGATAATGTGCCCTGCCACACTGCAAAAATGGTTCAAGAATTGTTTGAGGAACACAGCGAGATTGAGGTGTTGACTTGGCCTCCAAATTTCCCAGATCAAACATCTGTGCTGAAAAAACAAGTCTGATCCATGGAGGACCCACCTCGCAACTTACAGGACTTAAAGCAGGGGTACTCAGCCTTTTGGAGAGCGAGGGCCACTTAAAGCGGAGCTCCACCCAAAAGCGGAAGTTCCGCTTTAAGGACTGCTCTCCCGCTCCCCATTAAGGATTGGCACCTTTGGGGGGGCGGAGTGGGTACCCGAATTTGACAGGTACCCACTCCCATTAGGGCCTAGGCGATCGGAGATGGAAGGTGTCCTCCCTCCCTTCCTTCCTGCAGTCTTTTGGGACACGTGACAGGTCCTAGAAGACTACAGGACCATTCATGAAGCACAGTGCTACTCTCACATGTGCAGTGGGTACCCGGCTGTGAAGCCGCAAGCTATCACAGCCGGGTGCCCACACTGAAGATGCCGGCCTCCTGGAATCCAGGACAGCCGGTGAAACGGGCTGCGGGGGACACACCACGAGGGACAGGTGAGTGGCTGTTTTTTAAAAGTCAGGAGCTACAGTTTTTGTAGCTGCTGACTTCTATTTTCTGACAGGGTGAGTGGAACTCCGCTTTAAGTGATTTAGTAACCGGTTGCAGGCCACAATGACATGAAATGCTTCAAATTTAAGAATTTTTTATTTTGAACAGCATAATGAACATTTATATCCTGCAACCCCTGAATGCTGGCGGGAGGGAGAGGAGGAGAGGCTGACTTTCAGCAGTTACAGGAGGAAAATGGAAAAAATTAATTCCTGTATATGCTGCCCCTGCCACCCCGCCTGTCCAAGTGTAACACAGAATGTGACAGGGGCTATCATTGTGACCCCTGGCGCTACATCAGTGATCAGTGGTTGAGGGGGGTGGTAAAAACCACCCGCCCCCCAAATCACAAACAAGCCATTACGGATCCAGGACCCCCCCCCCCCAGTATAAGGCTGCTTTTACACTGATGCCTGCAGTTTTCCCACACCTCGAATGCAGCACAGTGCAGGTGTGGCTTTCCTGCAAGTTAGCTGCTCTTTGCCATAGACTTCTATTATATCTTGCAGGTTTGGCGCACTTTTTGAAAGCACGCCAAAACTCCTGCATTTATTTTGAGGTCTGAGGGCCACTGGTTGGGCAACCCTGACTTAAAGGATCTGCTAGTGACAGCTTGGTACCAGATACCATTGAATACCTTCAGAGGTCTAGTGGACTTTCCTTTAGGGTGCACTGATACCGACAACGGTGTGGATAATGAGTACTTTCACGTGAAAATGCTCCCGATACCGGAAACCGATACCCTGTGGTGTGATTTGCATCAATATAAACTGCATCGCAAAGATTAGCATGCGATGTGAACAGGAATGTGATTCCTGTCCAAATCTCATGCAGTTTGGTTTCCCCACTGCTCTTGTGTGAGCCAAAGCTTGTCATAGCCCGAGTTCACACAGGATCGGGGCGGGAAACCTCCCTGCAGGCATCCCATGTTCCATATTTTCAGCGGGAGGAGAGGAGAGACGGTGGCACATGGACGGTGCTGACCAATCAGATGTCATCTAACCTCTGCTGTCATTGTTGCAAGGAGAGGAGAGAAAGCGGCTTCACAGGTCTGGAGATTTCAGATCCCCTCTGCTTTCTCTACTTTCCTTGGAAGGATGACAGCTCAGGCTCAAGGGCTTTTCATTAGTCAGCACTGTCACATGGATGGTGCTAACCAATCAGTTGTAGTCTAGTCTCTACTGTCATCGCTGCAAGGAGAGGAGAAAAAGCTGTGGAGATTTCAAACCCCCAGATCTGTGAAGCGGCTTTCTTTCCTCTCCTTGCAGCGATGACAGCAGGAGCTAGACATCTGATTGGTTAGCAACGCCCATGTGATGGTGCTGACCAATCAAAAGCCCTGGAGCTCGAACTGTCATTTGCAATCCCCACTGCTGGGAATATGGACCACCTGCTTCCATAGTATACATCTCCACAAGTCCACTCTCCGCTCTGGGAAACTTCCCTGCACCGCTCCTGTGTGAACTCGGGTTAGGCCAAGCCTGAGTTCATGTGAAGGAGTGGGCAAACGCATTCCTGTTCAAATCGCATGCTATTCTTTGCAGTGCAATTTGCATCCATACATTTTGTATAGACAGAAATCGCACCGCAAAGTATCGGTATCAGCGAGTACATGACCGGAAGTATCGGCGAGTACATGACCGGAAGTATCGATATAGGAGAGTACATGACCGGAAGTATCGGTATCGGCGAGTACATGACCGGAAGTATCGGTATCAGCGAGTACATGACCGGAAGTATCGGTATAGGAGAGTACATGACCGGAAGTATCGATATAGGAGAGTACATGACCGGAAGTATCGGTATCAGCGAGTACATGACCGGAAGTATCGATATAGGAGAGAACATGACCGGAAGTATCGATATAGGAGAGTACATGACCGGAAGTATCGGTATCGGCGAGTACATGACCGGAAGTATCGGTATCGGCGAGTACATGACCGGAAGTATCGGCGAGTACATGACCGTAAGTATCGGTAAGTACATGACCGGAAGTATCGGTATCGGCGAGTACATGACCGGAAGTATCGGTATCGGCGAGTACATGACCGGAAGTATCGGCGAGTACATGACCGTAAGTATCGGTATCGGCAAGTACATGACTGAAAGTATCGGTATCAGCGAGTACATGACCGTAAGTATCGGTAAGTACATGACCGGAAGTATCGGCGAGTACATGACCGGAAGTATCGGTGAGCACATGACCGGAAGAATCGGTATCGGCGAGCACATGACCGGAAGTATCGGTATCGGCGAGCACATGACCGGAAGAATCGGTGAGCACATGACCGGAAGAATCGGTGAGCACATGACCGGAAGAATCGGTGAGCACATGACCGGAAGAATCGGTGAGCACATGACCGGAAGAATCGGCGAGCACATGACCGGAAGTATCGGTAGTCGTACTCGCCGATAAAAAATGTTATGGCTGCATCCCTGGTGTCCATGCCTCCATGGTCCAGGGCAGTTCTGGCAGCAAAAACGGGTCCTACTGGACATTAAGAGGGTGGAGGGAAAGTAGTGGCTGATCGGTGGAAGAACTCCTACTGAACTTTTGTTTTTAGAGGGTCTGGTACAAAGCCTGCCGCGGCCTTCCTCCATAGAGGTCAGCTAACCTGGAACAAGCATGCGGACATCAATGACTACATGCTTCTTCCTGGTCAGAGGTCATCAGGCTGTGAAGACAAGGATCAGGATGGCAGCCCTGGAAGTCGGCCATGCAGAGTCTGCCATAACCAGTGTAGTGTTGTGTCCCTCCACCTGCACAGGAGGCGCTGCTGAGCCTTGTACTCCCTCCCCCCCCCCTCCCCCATGGCGGCACTCACATGGCATGCGGGTGAGCACGTTCTTGGGGGTCTTCTTCCTCCTCCTGGGTGGTCTCTTCCCCTCCTCCTCCGGCTTTGTCACCATCAGCTTCTTCAGCCTCTCCACCCTCTCGGGGTCCGGTGCCGGTTTCCTCCCCTTTTTGGCTTTTTTCGGCCCCTCCGCCCGTCCCCGGGCCCGGCCACCTCCCCGCAGGAAGCTCTCATACTCGGCCAGGTTGTTGAAGCACCGGACATTGGGGAAGGGGAGAGGGGTGCGGGGGGAGTACAGGGCTATCAGGGGGTCGAAGGACTCCGAGCTGACATCCAGACAGCTGTCTGGCGCCTCGTCTTCATCCCCGGTCACCGGATCACCAGAGACCCCGGCCTGGGCCTGACCCACCGGAGCTTCCCGCGCCATGTGTGCAGTACCGCAAAGCGGACACTAGATGGCAGCATCACATCGCATAGCCATTACACTGTTGCAGCCTCTACTGGCTTATGAAGGAGAAGTTTTCTGACAGAGACATAGAGGGCGCTAGTGTTCACTACCCATGCCGGACATAATGGCTGTCATGCTGCTTCTGTTCATTCATCATAGAAATACTAGCTGCCTGGCTACCATGCTGCTTCTGTTCCTGCATCTTTATAGAAATACTAGCTGCCTGGCTACCATGCTGCCTCTGTTCCTGCATCTTTACAGAAATACTAGCTGCCTGGCTACCATGCTGCCTCTGTTCCTGCATCTTTATAGAAATACTAGCTGCCTGGCGGTCACTTTGCATCTCTTCCTTCCCCATTTTAGAAATACTAGATAACTGGCTGTCATGCTGCTTCTGTTACCTACTCCTTCTGGAATTACTAACTGCCTGGCTGTTAGGCTGCTTCTGTTCACTATTTATGGAAATACTAACTGCCTGGCTGTTAGGCTGCTTCTGTTCACTATTTATGGAAATACTAACTGCCTGGCTGTTAGGCTGCTTATGTTCACTATTTATGGAAATACTAACTGCCTGGCTGTTTTGCTGCTTCTGTTCACTATTTATGGAAATACTAACTGCCTGGCTATCATGCTGCTTCTGTCCCCTGTTCAATATAGAAATACTAACTGCCTGGCTATCATTTTGGGTCTGTTCCTTGCTCATTATGGAAATATTAACTGCCTGGCTGCATGCTGCTTCTGTTCCCTACACATTATAGAAATACTACCTGGCTGTCATGCTGCTTCTGTTAACTACTCACGATAGAAATACTGTCTGCCTGGCTGTCATGCTGCTTCTGTTAGCTACTCCTGGAAATACTAACTGCCTGGCTATTAGGCTGCTTCTGTTCACTACTCCTGGAAACACTAGCTGTTTGGCTGTCATGTTGCTTCTGTTCACTACTGGAAATACTAGCTGCCTGGCTGCTATGCTTCTGTTCACTACTCATGATAGAAATACTAGCTGCCTGGCTGCTATACTTATGTTCACTACTCATGATAGAAATACTAGCTGCCCAGCTGTCATGCCACTTGTGTTCACTACTCATTCTAGAATTGCTTGCTGTCTTGCTGCTTCTGTTTACTCTTCAGTCTGGAAATACTAGTTGCCTGACTGTCATGTTGCTTGTGTTTACTACTCATTGAGGAAATGCTGACTGTCACGTTGACCCTCTGGATTCGGTACTCTGAGTCACTTATCCAGAATATATATGTTAATCAAGGACTTCTTCCTTTCATGCATACTTGCTCCAGTCAGTTAGTTTTCTCTATGACTACCCGCTCCTAATTCAGGCAAGCATTTCCGCCAGTTTTGGTAACATTACCAGCATTGGCAGCACATTCAGGCAGTGCTAACCACTGGCCCTTTACCTTTGTTGCATCCACTTTCTGGTTCCCCTGAAGGGACTAGTGGCATAGCCCTGGCCGCACAGATTCCCCAGTGGAAGGCAGCGTCACTAGTGCTTTCAGGAAGACCCCGTACTGAAGCTGTAAGATCTCTTTGAGATTTCACAGTAGTCTGATACAGCGCGTGCACAATATGGAACGCATGATGTCATGCACTTTATCTCACACATGCCATAAAGCATTAAACTCGCTTGCTAGTGAAAAAAAAACCTTCTTTCTTGAGATCTCACAAGAAAGTTTTTAAAAAAAAAAAGCTAACAGATGAGTATAATGTCGTATGACACCTGCGTGAAATGAGACTGCGCACAGTAATGGGTGGATTCGAAAGCTGCCATTGGACTGATTAATGGTTATGGATCCACCCACTGCTGGAAGCTGTCAATGTAACATAAAGCAGACCTAGTGGGGAACTAGTCTCAGTTCCTTATCAAGCTCTGCCCACCGCTAGGAAAAAACTCCTTGACCATGTGCTTGTCAGTATGATGGGTGCAGTGGATGAGGAAGGGAAGGAAGGGTGTTGCGCCCCGATGGGATTCTAAAAGGGGGTCTACAACACCATTATGAGTTCCCTAGATAGTATGAATGTGCCCTAATTCTTATAGGTGGGTCCAGCCGCACCTGAAGTGTCTGCGCACCCTTTAATGGGGACCCGCCTGTAGCAAACTTGCTCATCAGAGTTGGACGCGGAGTTCCCCTTTTTCTATTCCTCAGCCCTCATTCCCTACCCCCCTCCCTTCCTGAGAGGCAAACGTTATCTCCTGAGTGACAGATGGTGGGGAGGTCAACACAGGCTAGGCATTCCTAGTTTGGTGCCAGTCGTCTGTGTAAGTGTAACCTTTTTCACCCATCATAAAAACAGATAATGCAGTTCTCCCTGGACTTGAAAGTTAATTGAACATTCCTCAAGTGAGGCTTTCCCCAGATGTTTCATGTCATGGATTATGACAGATGTGGGTTCTAACTCAGAGTTCTCCTGACCCCTCCCAACACAGCGTAGCAAGAGCATCCCCCCTTTCAGAGGGATTTTTAAAAAAGAGACAGGCTAGCAAGACTGCGATTAGAGCTTAACACACATCTCCTGAGTGTAACATCATAACAGAGGAGATCAAAGACCCTTCCTGCTCTGCACTTGGATCTGCTTACAAACCAAGGCATATTGGCGAGTAACTTAACTCTTTAATTTCCTTCCTATTATCTCTTTGCTGTACCTTTATTTGCATATATCTATATAGTTACTTTTTCTTTGTAAATATTTTATTGCACCTGTTTGACTCTTTTAGTAATAAATCCTTCTTTCTGAAAGTGTTTAAACTGTTTCTAAGCGCTTACTTGCAATTCACGAACTCCTGCCTTTGAAGAGACGCTACTGTGTTTGTTTAATCCTCTGCCCAATCGGCCTGCGGTGACCGTATTGGACAGGTGACTTTTCAATCATTATAGTGTATATTTGATAACGGGAGTTTCCCAGTCTCCGACAAAAGTGGTGGTGGCAGTAGAGGGTTAGTTGCGTAATTAACCCGACCCAGTAACAAGCGCAGTCAGGCTGCAGGCACCGATTGTAGCCCATTAGCTGGACAATCGCTGTGCAGGGTGCAGCTGGGTGTGGCCTTGTTACGCGCGTCACACTGCGGTTTTAGATCGGCCGGTCCTTTGGTCATGAGTTTGGTGAGAAGGTCTGGGGTCTGACGCCGCGGGCGTGACGTATTACTGTTAGTCGCGGTCGTGCGATTGTCGCATGTTGTTGGCGGTGACCGTGCGATCCGTGACACCGCCTAATACACAGAGCTGACTCAGGCCTACCACCCTAGCCATACTGTCAGCAGCCCCCTTCAAAAATTTCCCTTTCTGTCACCATGTGCACATATAGTATGTCCGAGACATGGAGTGCCCTGAAAATACACCATACTCCTGGTCACCCGTAGCAATGGCTCTCCCCTGGCGATAGTCCCAACGTCTTTTACGTGGTTCAATGATGGAGCTCATTCTCCCTTTTGCACTACCTGCCCCTAGCCTGACCACATTTGCACAGAGTTCATCAGCTTAAGCTCCAGAAGGTTTCACCGCTTTCATGATCAGGTCATTTTTTGCTGTTCAACACTGCGTTACTTTAAATGGCAGTTGCTCGGTCCTGCAACATTGTATGCAAATTAAATGTATATAATGTTTTCACACAAATAGAAGTTTCTTTTGGTGGTATTTGATCACCACTGGGTTTTTATTACCTAAAGGAAAAAAGACCAAATAATTAAAAAAAAATATATATTTTCTACTTTCTGTTATAAAACTTATCGAAAAAACAAAATCTTATTTCTTCATAAATTTAGGCCAAAATGTATTCTGGTACATGTCTTTGTTTGAAAAAATAATCCCAATAAGTGTATATTCATTAGTCTGTGTGAAAGGTATACAGTCTACAAACTTTGATATATATATTTGAAAATTGAACAATTCTGATGTACAAACAGCCTTCTCATTACTTGAGGCCTTAAAATGCCAGAACAGTACAGATGCTCCCATAATGACCCATTTTTGGAAAGCAGATTCTGAAGTATTTAGTAAGATGCATGGTCATTTTTTTAAATTTATATTTTGTCACAATTTTGTTTTTGTGGAAAACAAATTAAATTTTTTTTCTTTTTTTACATACTGTCACCAGTGCAGTACAGCATCATCATATGGCTAGTGTGGCAGTGATTAGGGAGACTAACTGGTGACAGTATGTAAAAAAAAAAAATGCTAAAAAAAAATTTAAAATACAATTGTGCTCAAAAGTTTTCATACCCTGGCAAAAATTGTAAAATTTTGGCATTGATATTGAAAATAAGACTCATCATAAACATCTGTTTATGTCCTTTTCCATCTTTATAAAGTTCCATTACCTTGTTACACAGGACTTTTGACAGTTCTTTTCTGATCCCCATGGCTCAGTATTTAGCCTAGTCAGTGCTTCCACGTAAGAGCTAACAAACTCATTGACTATTTATACACTGACACTAATTGCAATTTAAAAAGCCACAGATGTGGGACATTACCCTCGAATTGGCATTTTAACCTGTGTGTGTCACCTTGTGTGTCTGTACCAAGGCCAAACATTCCAGGGGATGGAAACTTTTCATCATGGCCATTTGGGTGATTTCTGTTATCATTATGATTTAAAAAGGAGCCAAACAACTATTTGATACGAAATGGCTTCCTATGATCATCATCCTTCAATAAAAGAGCATTTTTTGGCATGATCAGTCATATTTTCAATATCAATGCCAAAATTTCACAATTTCTGCCAGGGTATGTAAACCTTTGAGCTCAACTGTAACTTGTTACTCCATTTTTTTTTTTTTTGTACTATTTTTTTCATACTTTCATCAGAGTAGTTCAGTGTCACCATAGCAACACTGTACTACTCTGGGGGGGGGGGATCAGGGCTTTTTTTTTACGCTTTGATTTCTACATTGAAGTTCACTGTAACAGCAAAGTTTTGAACTGCTATGAATTGGTTACATTCATAACGAGTGTGATTTTACTATTGTGATCTG